TGAGGTAGAGGTAGTGAACTATTGTGAAATAATGAATCCTTGAAGGACTTACCAATGTAGTATTCTTTGTTGAAGTTTATCCTCATGGGAGAGCACAATAACATCTCTGGCTGAAAGAACACCTTTTAGTGAATGGGAGTAATTGGCTTTGAAGTAATTCATTAAATAAAGAATGGTAACAAAATTGTAAACAAAATCTCTTAAAAATTTTAGTTATTGTTATTGTATAGAGAGGCAGCTATCTTAAGTCACTATGATATACAGGGTCTCCTCGAATTTGAACAGTGTATCTATTCTATATATAATTCAGTTTTAAAAATCTTTGTACAACTAAATCTAGAGTTCTACTGGACCGAATGTATTAAATAATGGGTCGTTGGAAAGCTTTAGTCGTGTAGATTTGCAAAAAATTATGAAAGTTGGTTTTTGTCATGATTTATGGTGAAAAATTAAAAAAAACATGTTTTCCTTAAGAAATACATTGAAAACGGTGTTTTTCACACTTTTTATTTGTGTGCGACTTTTGGCTGCCTTTTTTGACTATTTCCAAGAAGTGTATGGTAATAATTTGTAGGAAATTTTATTTTCTTTCAGAATATCACCTTCCACTTTGGTCGATTTCCTCACCATTTAAAAGTTATCTGCAAAAAAGCTAAGCAACCTCCGAAATTATAGTAATGAGAAAATACTGAGTTAGGGATAATTTTGTTAAACTTTGTACAACTAAATCTAGACTTCTACTAGACCGATTTTGTTAATTAATGGTTCATTGGAAAGCCTAATTTATGTAGATTTGCAAATAGTGATGAAAGTGTGATTTTATTAAATATTTGTGGTAAAAAAATAAAAATAAAAAAAATTTATTAAAAACTGCTTTTTCAAATTTCTGTTTGCAAGTTTATATTTGTAGCCAGCTTTTGTCTGCCTTTATTTAGTATTTTCAAGAAATACGTAGTAGTTATTTGTAGTACATTTTATTCTCTTTCAGAATACCACATCCACTTTGGTCGATTTCCCCTCTATTTTAAAGTTATTGGCAATAAGCTAAGTGACCTCCAAATTTATAGTGGTGGGAAAATACTGATATAGACATATTTTTGTTAAACTTTGTACAACTCAATCTAGACTTCTACCGGACCGATCTTCTTACTTAAAGGGTCGTTGGAAAGCCTAATTCGTGTAGATTTGCAAATAATTATGAAAGTTTGATTTTATTACATATTTGAGGTGAGAAAATAAAAATAAACAATAATGAATTTAAAACGCCTTTTTTCTCCAAGTTTAAATTTCCAAGTTTATGTTTATAGCCAACTTTAGGCTGCCTTTATTGAGTATTTTCAAGAAATACATAATAGTAATTTGTAGAAAATTTTATCCTCTATCAGAAAATCACCCTCCACTTTGGTCGATTTCCTCACCATTTCAAAGTTATTTGCAAAAACGTTAAAGAACCTCCCTATTTGTAGTGGTGGGAAAATACTGAATAAAAGTTGTTGTTGTTAAACTTTGTATAATTAAATCTACAGTTCTACTTACCCGATTTTAATACATAATAGGTCATTGGAAAGTGTAATTAGTGTAGATTTGCTAATAGTTATGAAAGTTTGATTTGTTAAAGATTTACTAGGTGAAACCCGTCAAAGTCGACAGTTACTGTTAAGGTTGCAGGCAAGATCGTTTGACTATAAATTGATGATAAATAACAATTTTTTTTAACAATTTGGGTTGTTCGTGATACAGCAGTGTGCTTTAGGTACGTCTGATCTTAATAATCAATAATTCAAATGGGGGAAGCCGGTATTTCACTGAAGGTTCTTAGGTCAAAAGAACCTGCTGTTGGATAATCTTTTGGAGAACGGCAAATAGGTTAGCGTAGTTAGAATTGAGTAAATATTAAGCTTAGAGAAGAACTAGTTGAGAAGAGATTGAGTAAAACTAAATTCCATATCCAAGATGTAATCAAATTTATGTTTTCTGACTGAGCGAAACAGTATCTTGAACTTAACTGATTGAAACTATCAATATCTCAAATGAAAAACTTTATTTCTAAAAGTATTATAAGACCAAGGCGTAAAATAACTTAAATAAAAATAGATTTACGTATAATTGATTGCAGATAAGTACTAAAACGATGATAATTATTCTTGATTCATGATTCTGCAGTTTGTTTTAGGTAGTCCGATCTTTATAATCAATAGCTCAAATGATAGCTGGTATTTCACTAAAGGTTTTCAGACGAAAACATATAGGGTTATGTAGTTAGAACTGCTGAAATACATCTTTAATTGAAGTAAAAAAATTAAATTTATATTATTTGCCGAGTAATACATTAGATAAATTAATGATGATACTTTATGACAAATATGTGCTTGCATAGCTTTATTTTAAGACCAAAATTATGAAAATCGGTCGGGTAGAAGAGCCAAACGAACTCGAAAAAAACAAATTTAACTCCCATAAGGAATGTACAGGGAGGCAGTTTGTGCATAACTCGAAATATACGTTAAAATGAATGCCGGTGCTTGAAGGAAAATCTGTGGTGTGTCCATACCTTTAGTTTAAGGCCAAAATTATGAAAATCGGTCAGGTAGAAGAGCTAACCCGACTCGGAAAAGAAAAACCAATGGTAATAATTGGTTTACCATTATGCATAATCTAATCTTACAAAACATGTGTTGATAATTAATTTAACAGCTTATTCGTATATTGTTATGTAATTGATTTTTTTTTATTGAATGTTGTTGCTAACAATTTGTATTTGTGTTTAAAGTGTGTTCCTAATGAAGTGTCTGATTCTAATGTTATGTGCTTAATCTGTACCATTAATATTAGTGAGTAAAGTGGAGTATGGATTTCATGACCATTATTTTACTAGAGACCGTTGTATTTAATCACAACGGGCTCTGTTGCTAGTATCGAATAAATAGGTCAATTAGAATTAGCAACCCGAGTTGCTAGCTTAGTTCTACCATTTAGTCAATGGTTCTACGCATGCGCTGTTCAACCATATTTAAATTTTTTATTGTGACCTTGCTGTTTTAAAATGTTTCTTTATGCTTTTTGTACAATAAACCTTCCCACAATCTGTATTGAAGAGGTTTGACTATGATTTTGCAGTGACCTAATTTCAGAGGGAAATTTATTTGCTTACAATATAATGTTTGCATTTCTGCAAATAAAGTGAATTTGATATATATTTCATACCACTCAACATTCAATAGTTTTCTACATAAAATTACAGGACTGGGGGACCAAGCCTTGCTGGGTTGTGGTTAATTGGGTTTAATAGCTAAAACAATATATCTTAAACAAAGATTTTAGATACACGTTTATGATCTTGCTTAAGTCCTACTCGCACAAGAATTTTTCCCCCCTCTAGTCATTGAACCCGTTGTTTGACTTTTAAGCTCATTAATGACAGCAGTTAAAAATATTATGTAAATAAAATCATATTAGTTTCAAAATGTATTGTGACCTCAAATTTCATCTTTTTTGCGACTACTAAGAAAGCAATTTAGATATTATCTGTTTTTTTTTCTCATTGGAATTTAGCATACGCTAAGAGTTTTGTGCCAATTAAAACCCCAGATGTAATTAATTAGTTTACTTGGAATGCCTCAGTACATCAGGGATTAAGTTTTAATGGGAGAGGGCTAGGTAAATTAATCAGTATTTGATCGGAACTTTTTTCTCCTATATCAAGTAATCATCAGTGTAATCTTTGCTTAATAGTTACTTTTGAAGATTTTCCCTTTGCACTGTATTTTGTAGTTAGCTAATTAAGTTATACTGTGGATGGCTTGTTATAACACATGTGACAAGTCATTTGTTTACTTTTTCCTTGTTATTTTGTTCAACCATCATACTTAGCAGCCCATGAGAATTTTTTTAATTTTCAAATGAGTTGTGTAGCGAAATACGATTTTTCCTGAGGTAGTGGTTGTCCCCAATAATGTTTTTAGGGCTAAAAGACCCTAGTTAATTAATTCATTCATTCATAATATTAACTGATCAGTTCATAATAACAGACCCTGTAATTCCAAAATCTAGTAAACATCCTTCCCCTGAATATGTTGATATAGTTCGACAGACATAGCTCGTATTACTGTATAGATAGGCTAGGAATAGTTAACCTTTTTAAAAAAAGTACTTAAGCAATTAATTAGGGTTTAACTAGAAGGGATACTCAAATAACTTAAGTAGGTTTTTTGTAAATAATAAAATAACCAAGTAGTATTAATTTAAAAAATGAGCGCTTTCAAACACAGTGCCCAAACATCCATTGCACTTACCAGGTTTGGATGAACATTTGGCACTAAAAGCCCAGATTTTTCCACTTCAAATCCATTACCAGAAGAAAAAGTCAGAAAAGTGAACCCTACAAGGAAAAATCTGTGATTGATAAACTTGTCCATGATAACTCGACTGCTTCAGTCAAACCAAGAGATACTTTGATGAGCTACTAGCTGTAAACCAAAGATTTACGATCCGATAACGTAAAATTAACTTCATTGTTTGCTATCATTTAATTATTCTTTTACAACCTTAAAATACGGAAAGCTTGAATATTATCTGCAAAACTTTATAGGTCGTGCATTAGAACCTAATTACTATTAACAAAATTAGTGGTTTATTTTCAACAAATACATAAATAAACACTCTCTAGTCCATTAGAATAGTGTTCTTGGGAATTGTACACAGTTTCCAGACCATTTCATCTTTATAGATTTGCCTACTGAAATATGTGGTTGGTTAAAATTGTATTTAAAAACATGTTCTGTTAAAAAATTTAAGGTATTTTTCTAAATCTTCAGTAAAATTTAATCCACAAGTTGTTTACCAAAGTTTTTGTTATAAAAAAATTTATCTTGCTCATTTATGTGATATTTAAGTTCTATTTGATCATAAAACTATTTTGTTTGAAGATTGTAAGATTATTAATATTGAAATTACAACAAACCCATGCAAGGATAAAAATGTGTCAATAAGATAAAACAATATTAGTAGAATATACTTTATTTGCTATTTTTGGCGGCAAACAAAAAATATTTATTTCTTATGTGGATTAACCACTACAATACAGTCTAAAAACAAATTAAAGGAATTCATTCCAATTAGGATATTTTGAAATGTTTACATTTACATAAAACCTTTAAAACGACAATGTGATAATTTGTTGTGACTTTACATAATAATACAAATTAGGTATACAGAAAATACTGATGACCATAAGTTAGAATGCCTTTAACGTCAACTACCATAGGTTGTACTGACTATAAAGTGATGTTTGAGCTTGCATATAAAAAATAGTGTTTGAGTTCAAAAATATGATTGCATACTGAAAAACTAATTATAGTGACAGTTTTGGTTTTGTGTAAGTTTTTGTGCCATTTTCTACAACTAATGATACGTACTTCAGTTCACAACAGTCATTGATTTAAATAAACATTTGATAGATTAACATTTACACTCAACAAAGGTTTCAAGATGCCTTATTTTCTGAAATATTCATCAATTGTTTCTAGATATTTATTTTTATTTTTTTCCTAGGACACTAGGCACAAGCCCAGAATTGTTTTTCACATTACTTCAGACTAGACCTAGGGGTAACGGCATTATCACTTAGATAAAATCCGTTGGTGATTGGGCGGGATTTGAACCAGAGGCCCCAGGAACCGAAGTTCCACTCTCTAACCACTAGACCAGCTCACTTTCCGTTTCTGGATATTGCCTTGTTGTTTGTAGCATACATTTGTTTTGTTGGAAAGATAGATGCAACAATTCTAATTTAAATTTTGTGTTTATATATAACACATCTTCCTTAACATCAACATTTGTTTCTACTAGTTAATTACTGTATGGACATTGTTTTGAAGATTTCATTTATAAGATCGAGAAAAGAAAAATCCTTTTGTCAACACTAGACAAGAATCCAAAAATAAAATTTATACTTATCTTAACATATTAGTAGACATCCATAATTGGTCCGCACAGCGCACATATATAAAATTCATTCTAGATCCAACATTTCATAAAACATATTCATTGTTTTTCATCATGAGCATGACCTAACAAAAGAACAAATAAATTTAACAAAAGGTACCTTGTTCAAATACTTGATTCCATTTAGTACAGATATTTTTCTGCATTGACATGTTGTTCATAATGGTTTTTTTTACCAAGCACTCATTTAAATATAACATTAGTAAGTAAGATAGGTACTTTTAATTGAGAAATAAATTGTTCTTTGTATTGATATTTTTATACTTAATTTAAGTAACTATATAAAAAACTTTTATGTAATTAAACAGTCCACTTAAATAAAGTAAATATAACAATATAGTTGTGATGTTTTTAAATTAAGACAGTGATTGTTAAAAGTAAGTAAAAACTAAATTCTAAATTCTAAAGGGGATGAGGAATTGTTGCAGTCTTTACCTAGCTGAGATTTGTAGCTGAGATTGTGCAGTTGGATTGATTGTTAGCTTGAGATTCGTAGCAAGCTATTGAATCCCCGTTCTTATTAATCAAAAATAAAATAATACCTCATCACATTAGTAAAATAAAAATAATACAAAGTTGTAATTTAAAATAACATACGTTTCCTCCAAAATTAAATCCTAAGCCTTTGCACTCCTACTATTTGTTACATATCAACTTTACAAGTCCAAAAGCAGAGTTTGTTCAATATTTAATAATTGTTCTGTTATATTAATTTAGAAATTTAAATTCTACAAAAACAAACTTGAAGGAAAAAGGTGACAAAGGAAAATTGAGGATTGAGTGCAAACAATATAAAATTTACAATACTAACATAAAATAGCCTTAAAATCCTAAAAAAAACATGCTGTGATGTTTTAGACATAGGAGTCCCATGGAATAAACTAAATGTCTTTGTAAAAATTGCATTCTACTCTAGCTGCAGAATTAGATTGTGCAAAATGTATTGAACTAAACTTAATATGTCATAAAGTAGTGACATTTTCCCCTGTTTACTTGTTTAGAATTGAGTTTTTTACCAAGCTTTAAGTATAAGATTTTAAAAGTTACACATGGCTACAGCTCAAAAAGTCAGAATTTTGTAGATTCTTTATTCCATCAAAACCAGTTCACTAGGCTCATAATCCCTGCAAGTGAAAAAATCTCTCTTTTCGTTTGACCTATGTCACTTTCTTCTTGGCAATCTAAGAGGTAGGGCACAACCTTAATTTCTAAAAATAATCACAAAACCGCCCTGTACAAAATAAAAACCAAATATAAACCAACCTAAAAAAATAAATTAATATACAAAATCAACACTTATTTCAACTAAAATAACTAGTTTAAAAATATCACACAATACTTAAAAAATTAAACGAAACAGCATAATTTATTCATATATAAAATACTTTAAACATTTTCTATAGCCTACTGGACGACAATTAAAAATTAAGTACTCAAAAGGTTAAAATTGACTAATAAAACAAGCTTAGTCATACTAAAAAAAAATAAAAAAAAACTTTTGCATAACAGACTTAAACACAACCTAAAAAGAGGACAATTACTTAGTGTATTACTAGGAATGTTTTGAATTTGAACAATAAGATTTACAGTATAGATGGAAATGATAAATTACAAAAATATATACTTCAACTACAAATATGGAATTGTAATAATGTTAACATGTCTGTTTCAGCAATGTATAAAAAAATACCTACATTTGTTTTTGATTGGATTGAGATTCAGGAAATAATAATATTTTATACATCTTAAATATAAGTAAAACAAGTTAAGTAGACAGACAATATTTGATCTAAAATTGAATGAAGGTTTTTTAATAACTTAAATAAACTAGTTTCATTTCAAATTGTATTAAAAATACACAAAATGTACCTCAATCATCTTCAAAAGTGTTTTTTTTTTAGTTGCTCTAGATTTTGTGTGTTTCCAATACAATTTAAAATAAATCTATATGGTAATCATAAAACACAAGCCTTTTGTATATGAAATAATGAATAACCTCATATACAGCAGACTCTTTGCAATCCAACATCTACAACACAGGGTTTTACTGAAACTAGCTGCCAAAGTATGTGTGTTTTTAAAACACGGAGAAAGTTGTTGCAAAATTGGCGACCATACAAGAAAACTAGGAAGTCTTCATACATCTAAAGATTTTAGCCTTTCAAATCTTTATCAATCATAGTATCTCTTCACAATATGTATTTGACAAGTAAGAGTCTTCTCTAATCATGATTTATAATGAATTACGAACAATTTCCAAACAATTACTTTGTTTATAGTTTAAACAATTACTATACAGGATATTAATAGGTAAACGTAAACCACATTCTTTACAATTCCATCACACCACTACGCTATCAATGTATAGCCACAAATGTAGCGGGTTCGGTGGTTTAAAATTCTGCTTTCTTCAATAATTTATTTCCATCCCACAAGTCTCCAATACATGCTATTTATGCATAATTGTTTGTTTTCGCTATGTCTGTGAAAATTGAAATATCAATGGAACATAATTAGCCACAATGACCTGGTCGTAACTCAAAATGAAAACTGGCTTCGTTGAAAGCAGACTTTTAACCACTTTTTACTGAACTAAATTATTTACACACTTTTAAGTTTATTTTATAGTAGACAAATTATTATATTAAGTATTCACTATTTGTATCATTGTGAGAGAATAATTGATATACAGTGTTGAGGTGGTTTTGTACAAAAAAGTTCAAAGTTTCTATGATATAGATATTTTCGACAACACTAAGAAAATCTGTTGAACCATAATGGTGACTAGTCAATTGATAAAAGAAATTAACCAAATTTACATTTGAATGGATAGAATACTTAAATAAATAAAGTTTAAGATTCTTTATGTTGTTTTAGTTATCATCAAAGTTATGTAAACATTAAACAAAATTTGTTGTGTTTTAGTTGCGAGTTTGAGTGTACCACACACTATTAAACCTTGTCCTTTTTTGTACCACCGTTAAAGTTCCAGTAAAGTCCCATAGTATAGCAGTTAACACTCAGGAAATTGAGTTTTATGTACAAGATACTGATTAAGTAGGATAGATAAGGAAGACAATGGGAATGGTCAGGAATGTAGAACTGCAAAACCAATGGATCGGCAACCAGCTGTATAAAAAATTTGATTTTTCCAAATGTGAAAAACTAAACCTTAATATTTCAACTGTAAAATACGGTCAGCTTTTACAAAATGTCTGACTTAAAGAAGTCAAGAGTTAATCTTACAAAATTTTCAGGCTGAAAATACCTGTAGTTGCACACTTATGATCGATCCAAAGGTTTTCTCCGATTACGTTGAGGTTTAGTCCAGGGTTGAGGCGTCTTTGTCAGGGATGTTGTTGAGTTCAGAGTTCCAGTAATAGAAGGGAGGACCCCGGGAAAAGCAATACTTCTGGTCCAATGGTTCGCCTTCTTCAACGTAATACATGATGTAAAAGTTGCACATCTCGTCTTTGTTTGTCGGTCTGGAAGAATAGTTATTTATGTCACATTACATGTCAGTACATCATATAAATGACAGGACATATTGCCAAGGGTTAAATCTAAGACCTAAAACTAAAATACTACTGTTTTTGTATAAAAAAATATAAATCTTCCAGAAATATGATAAAGAACAAATCAATTTTACCCTGTAAAAATTGAGGTAGGTGGAGTGGGTGGGTTCATTCATATACCTAATTCCAGCAGCCGTCCAAATAGTCAGCCAATGAATAAAAAGATTTCCTTTTGAGTCATTCTTTTGGGAAAGTCTGAGTTTTAAAAGATTTTCTAGATTACCAGATTATTTCTTGGCAAGTTATTTAAGACCAATCAATGCATTGTGGTTATTACTGGATATTTGTAATATTTATAAGCTATAGGTTTTATAATAATTTTATTTCTGCTATTATACCTAATTTTGTTTATAGTTTGGCTCTCTCTAAAAGTGGAAAAGTTTTTATAAATCCATCATGCTATTTCAAGAACATAGTGATAGTAAGAAATTTGACCCTGAAAATGTTGAAGAAATTTTGAACATTAGGTCCTAGAAGGAACTTGGCCATTGTATTACTGTTTTTGGAATTTAAACATATTTTGGAGTGAGAAGAGTTAAGCTAGATCAAGATCAAATAAATTTGTCAGTGACACAATGTAATTATTATTGAAACACTCACCCAGTGTAAGTGATGGACTTTCTGTTGCTGACCATTGTGCATCTGGCAGCCTGGAAACAATTTTAATAAGAATAAATAACTGATAAACCTACTTAACGTAAAACTAAGAGAAACAAGATTTCACGCTTTCTATTTGAGAGGGAAAATCTGCATATTAAAACCTTACTGCAGGACTTGATGGTACTTGATGGATTGTGTACAAACGATTTATCCATAATAATTTACTCTTATTAATTAATAGTTATCTTCTCATTCAAAACCGAACTGAAAATTTAAAATAGAGGTATAAGGCCGAGGACCAAAATTCTAGCACCATATCTTTGTCTCATTTTGATGGTGGTTTTTTTAATAGTTCTGGCATGTTAAGATTAAAACTATCGCTGAAGCTATCTGCAAAGTTTGCAGGATCAACAAATTGTCAATTTTACAAGGATCAAATAGTATCGATAATTACCATTTCCTCGATACCCAAGGTATTAAATTTTTTAGGCATCGAGAATCGGAATTGGCTCATTCTTATTTTTGAGGTTAGACCATTTAAGACTTAATCCACATTTTTTTCACAATTGATCAAATTCACAACTATACAGGGTGTCCACAAAATATTAGTACGAGACAAACCATGCTGTTACTTTTAAGCCTACGGTATTCTACCTGTGTTGGGTGTATCGGCTATCGGCCACATTCTAAAGTTCAGATATACTTGTACTATATATATTATAATAATTAATGTAGAGTTTGTTCATTTGAACATATACTATCATCTAAAATTAAAAGTGGCCTACAACCACTTACTGCCTTGTTTTGACGGCATCACCTCTTCTGCTTTCATCTTGTAGGGTAAATAACAACATCGTCTACCAGACCAAACACCTCAGTTGATGAACAAAGAAACAATCAGGGATGCCTCTCTCTAAGATCCCAACGTGATGCTATAAACGGAATCTCACTCAAGGATTGAAATGGAAGTGGCTTTTAGTTGGATTCCGGGAGAAACACGTCCATAATTTTCTATCTTAGTTCATCAAGTGTGATGCTTTTGGTTTGGTAGACAATGTCCTGTTGAAAGATACCCAATAAGAACACATTGAGTTGATGTCATCAAATGAGGAAGCCAGTATGTTGGTTAGCCTTGTCCATTGTGTCTGCTAGTAAACAATTTTTATTTTGGGCCACATTACCTGTCAAACAAAAAAATTGTTGTCAACGAAATTGGCAACGGGAAGCGGAACGAGTGCCGTCCTATTTTTTGCCGTGGGGGTCATAAACTGTCAAAACCGTCAGGTAGGCCTGAGTGCCGTTTGACTCCCCAAATTTAAAAATCTTTGTCACCAAGACTGATTTTCAAATATATAATAGGACCTTAGTCTGTCTTCAGTGTTAAATTAGTCTAGGGATGACTAGTTTCCGGTCAACGGCCCTTTATGAAATCCTTGTCAACATCAAATATGAGTTAGTCATAAATTCTAGAGAGGTCTTCATCGACACTTAAATACAATTCAACACATAAAGTTCACAATTAAAACACAATTTAAATGAAGATTGGCCGGCCACATTAATACAGAGGACGAACCGACACGGGTTGCACGGCGGACACAACAGAACTCAGTGACTCCCCAAAGCTTAAGAGTGATTCAGGAGAGAGGTATTAGTGGAAGGGGGTGTAATGGGCAGGATGTAACGGTGAACGGGTACAGTTTCCTAACTTGGCTAACCTTATATCGATTAAAAATATCGATTTGTTTTACTAAACCTTTATTCAATTTTTTATAATCAGCAAGTTTTATTAGGTTAGGTTAGGTCATAGCATTTTAATTCTATCCCTATAATCAAGTTTTGCTCATCCTGCCCCCCCCCCCCCCCCGGTCAATCTTTCCACCTCCATACCCGTTGCACAGTGGAACCGGTCTCCGATACCTGGCTGGCACTCGCACCGCCAAGCCTCAGGCTGTAAAATTACTCCTGTCAAAGTTTTTAAGTAACTGGCACTCGGCCCTGTACTCCTTGGCAACAATCATGAGTAAGATTAAACTGTAGCATCTGGCTAATACGGTTGACAATGGTAGAACATTGTATGTTGAAAAATGACAGTATGGCTTAAATATGAAACTAAACAAATCTTTTGTGGACACCCTGTACATATAGTTTTAATGGTCGAGTGACTAACCAGTATATCTCCCTCTGATACAGTGACAGTGTTGGCTACTGGGTAGAACATCTGGGGCAGTTGAGGACTTTTCTTGCCTATCAGAGTCCAGTGGTGTTGGCCCTGACTGTCCGTAGTCACTAGGTACCCGGACACGGCTTTACCTGTGGAGAATGACCCAACATTGATCATTGTAGTATACTGGGACTGTGGCGTCGTCCTGTAATCCAGCTACTTGGAGGTCACGAATTGTTGATAGTTATAAGCATGCACTGTGGATGCGATACTCCCTGGTGTGGATTAACTAGTGAGTACTATGACTATCAACGTAACTTTCAGCCACCAAGTAACGTATGTAAAACAGCTAAAAACATCATAGTGTGGTGAAAAATGATTTTATTGCCCAGTAACTGAGTACCAAGGTTTGAATCTCTATCTTGATTATTTTTTTTATATTTGAACTGTCCTGGAACTTTTTCCCCCCTGCATAAAAAACTAAATCTGTTTAAAATTATGGCTATTGACTGATTTGACTACTATGTCTAGCTTGAAAAAGAGGTTGTCCCATGAACATTTTGATTTTGATTTTTTATTAGGCCTACTAGCTCATATATGCAACAACTTAATTGTAGTCCACTTAGTTATTATTGAATTGTAAAGCGGTCCAACTCCAGGGTAGGAAACATGAAATTGTCTAACTGCTTCTGTAAAGTTACCAAAAGTAATATCCCACACACATCACTACACTTTTATTGTTCACCATTAACAGCCATTTCTCGCTTAGTTTCAGCAAAACTGAACTTGAGAGGCTTAAGTTATGATATTATGGTTCAACCAATATTCGTCAAAGAAGAATTTGGCCAACAATAAGTGTAAAAACTTCAATGCTGTAACCAAATGAGGTAATAACTCAAGAAAGTTATGTTTATAGGAAGAAAATTGGCAAAGTTTTCAATATGCCGCAATTTTGTTTCTAAAAGTGTAAGAAAGTTGAAATTTTATACACAATATATTTTACAACTTTTTTATAAATTGTGTAAAGTTTGAGTTTTTTCAGTACAAAAATGGACTGTTAGTTTAGTACAAAATCAAACATCTAAACCTCTTTGTGAGACACCCTGTATAAGTTATGTATGTGTTCTGGTGTTGTCTTACCGAGGCCGTGTGCGTGTGTACGGAAGGCAAACGGATGTATTGTCTTGTTCTCCTTGATCACACAGGAAGTTTCCATGTGTTCCTCAGACATAGGTGGTATCATCCCTGCAGTGCCCAGTAGATACACTCCAGCCAACTTGCTCATCCTAAGACACCACAATACATACTAGTGTACTAGGACATACAATAAATGTATGGTACCGGTATCTAAAATCACATTGAAATAATATGTGTGCTGTCACCAAGTATCCAGTTGACAGACATGAATGGAGTAATTTCCAAACCTAGAAAAAATGTGCCCGAAGAGTTCAGAGTGTTTGTAAGTGATCTTAAGCATTTTTTGCAAGATCTTTTACATGGTGTAATCCGACTGCTGTTGTTCATCAGTCTCGTTTGATGCAGAGACCAAAGTTAGGGGAGTTTCACATGTGGACCATGGTTTGCTGAATGAGAGAGATTATTGAACCAATGGGTAGGGCCTATAGATCCTTATAAAAACTATCAAGAACTATGATCAGTCCGGAAAGTATGAAACTCCCCCAATTGGCAAGCAAAGTTTCTCAAGTTCAATCCCTGTCTCGATGGAAAACCCACTTCCGGCTCCAGTGTGCATAGAGTTTGTATATAGAGTTTCTACAAACTCTCTAAGCCACTAACGCACATTTTCTACGTCGAAGAACTTTCTGCATACTTGGCAAGAGTTTCAATTTTCTTTCACGTTTTGGTTAGGAGCAGAAACCAGCTAGTACAGTAGTAGACAATGGTGCAAGGAACATGCTCTTGATCTCAGATATGAACTAGATCACTTGGCAGCGACAAAATCTACATGGGGACCTTAATCTACTGATAACACTCATATAACTCCTTTATTTGGTGGCTTTGAAGGACAGGTGGCAGATGTATCTACATATATTTGTAGATGTTGTGACAAGAACAGATACTTCCACTAACTGCGTAGACAGATTGGTTGGTGTTTGTGCAATAACCAGCAGGTTTGCAACACTTAGGTGCTACAGTACTTTCCCACACTCTATAAAAGTGCAGAAAGTAACAAGACCAGGTTTGGACCGTTCCATTTCAAAAACGTTAAAAAATGCCATTGGTTTCGATAACACACTGTTGTGACCTTGTATTCAGCATATCATTCTTCTCAAAATATTATACTTCTTGTGACTTCTCAAGAATAATTTTTTTTTTTATTTACCCTTTAATGAGTTTTTTGAGAAAAAACTTACTAAAAGTCGTAAACCCTCTTTATTCTTAATTTGTATAACCTGTAATTACCTTTATTTGTTAAGACTGGTTGTGGTTATATCAACCATTTATTTGTATTGGCATTTACAGATAGGTGGCAGACATATCAATTTCCCCCCAAAAAATATTTAAGCACCAAGTAGTCATTTGTTATGATTGTTTACAGTAGGAATATACAAACAAGATTAAAAAATTAAAGTTATATTTTTTCCCACGTGAGATGGGTTAATGTATTATGTTTTTGTCACAGAAACAAAAAATTTTAAAGCTATGTTCATGATTTTTTTTTAGTACAAGCATTGACTATTAGATACTGGTACAAGTCAACATAACCTTGATATCAAGAGCCTTGACTGCATGAGTATCCTGATAACAACACAGGTCTGACAATCATCATGAAAGTCTTCTGGCATTCTTATTTACACAAGATAACTGATAACTGAATGCAATTCAATATTTCCTGTTATTGCTATTATGTTGCCCGACTATAAGTAGGCATTTTTCAGGAACTTTTTTTAAAGATAGCAGAGCCTAATGGCTTATTATTTGAGTTAGGTACGTCTGTCTTCAATGTTTTGCCCTCGTCTTATGAATGCAAAATACATGTTATTTTGAAACTGAATTACAGTAGACCCCCTCTTAACCGACCTCGTATAAACCGATAATCGGATTATCCACCTTCGATTTTAAAATAATACAGTTTGTTTTAACCAACCTTACTTTGAGAGCAGTTCGGTTTAACCGCCGCTTTCTAGGAATCTCGGCATTTCCGCTCCCACTCTGGGCGATGAGAACTGAACCATACGCTTATTTCCACAGGATATGACAAAGAATAAGTTATTTTGTGTTGATCACAAAAAATTGTCATCATCGTTTGTAGCTCGAGCACATCTGATCTGATTGGTTATCTGTGCGGCAAATTTATAAGATCATAAAGTGTGTTACGATTTTGAGAATTGATTAACTTGTCGCTGGAGTAAACAAACAACGCAATTTGTAGGGAGGGCAGGGAAGGGGGGTTAACAACTCCAAGGTCACGATAGTTTTTGTGCCTCAAGCCTCCAGTGAGAGGCTATAAATAAACGTCCTGTCTTGTAACAAAATGGTTGCTTGTATCTTTATTTTTGACAAAAGGTTCTGTACTGTATTACGATGGATTTGGAAAGCATCAATTAATACATTACAGTACCTATAAAAGTTATTAAAATAGGAATTTTATTGACTCTTGCCTAGTATTATAATATATTCCACTGAAAGTAGGCCTATTTGACTTCACCGTGTTTTGTGTTTATTTTTGACTTTTCTATCAATACGAAAAAGGAGATAAGAGTAGTTTATTTTATGAATAATGCAAGTATAACTTTAAAATAATGATTATATAATTCCAAATGAATAACACTTAATTATGTAATAATTTTAGGGATTGCCCGTTTTATCCAACCTTTTGAGTTATCCGACCTAGGTCCAGTCCCATTAGGGTCGGTTAAGAGGGGGTCTACTGTAGTTAGAAATACTAAAATGCCTGATCAAGGTCTACATCACAAAGAGCTACCCATCCTATCATAATTACAGCGCCGCCCACCATTTATTTTATATGGACATACCAAGCTTTGCAATACAGGTCAACTCATGAGTTGCAAAATAGGCCAAACATAAGCAGAATTCAAATCTTTAATCTACGGCGTTGTCTCCTGGTTGAGGAGTCGCCTTAAACCGCTTAGCCATTGATCAAAATTAATTTATGGTTTACTGCAAATGCAATACTGTTAAAACCTATCACCAAAGCTCGGTAGTTCTAAGAGTGTCTAAAAGATTGCAACATCAGAAGAAAAGATAAAAAGCTTGCAGGTACAGTTTTCAGCAGTTTGTGAGTTTTACTAGTAGTACGCTTATTCTGCACGTAACAGGATGAGTGAACATGAGCGCAATAATGAAAGAGTTTACCAACACCTAGCACACTTACCGGTGTCACTGGTGTACACAATAATGTTATTTGTATGGGCAAATCGACCCATGAGTCGGGGCAAATAATGGTGAGTCGGTGACTCAAGTCGGTAGCGTCACGCGAACTTCGGGCCAAAGGCAGCGATGTTGTGAGTTCGGATCCTGGTCACTGCCACTAAATTTTATCAGTACAGTTCACCTTTGTACTGTACCGGCTCACCAATTGCTTTGCTGTAAACGATCCACGCACGGGCGAGGTTAAAAGAGGCTGGACCAACCTCTTAAAAAAACCAAATCTCAGTCAACAACAATCCTAACTTCTCGTCCATTAATTAACCAAAGTCATTGGTAATATACGTAACGTATTTCCTGTTTCCCTCTCTTCTCATCGCATTTTATTATTGCAGATACGTTGAGTTAACTGTCACAAAGAGTTCCCACACTCTGGACTGTTCACCTTGACTACTTCCTTTACCACTTCCTACGTCGTGGACCTGTTTCCCTCCCTTCCCATAGCATTTTTAGAATTGCAGATACTGTACATTATTCTAATTATCACAAAGGGTTTCTACACTCCGGAATGCTCGCCTCAACTATTTCCTTCACCACTTCCTACGTCGTAGACCTGTTTCCCTCCCTTCCTATAGCATTTTAGAATTTCAAATAGATTAATTTAACTTTCACAAAGGGTTCCCACACTCCGGACTGTTCACCTTGACTACATCCTTCACCACTTCCTACGTCGTGGACCTATTTCCCTCCCTTCCTACAGCATTTTAGAATTTCAAATAGATTAATTTAACTTTCACAAAGGGTTCCCACACTCCGGACTGCTCACCTTGACTACATCCTTCACCACTTCCTACGTCGTGGACCTGTTTCTCTCCCTTCCCATAGCATTTTAGAATTGCAGTTACATTAATCTAACTATCACAAAGGGTTTTTACACTCCAGAATGCTCGCCTCGACTACTTCCATTACCACTTCCTACGTCGTGGACCTGTTTCGCTCCCTTCCAATAGCATTTTAGTATTGCAGGTATATTAATCTAACTGTCACAAAGGGTTTCTACAGTCCGGACTGCTCGCCTTGACTACTTCCATCACCGCTTCCTACGTCGTGGACCTGTTTCCTTCCCTTCCTATAGCATTTTAGTATTGCAGGTATATTAATCTAACTGTCACAAAGGGTTTCTACACTCCGGACTGCTCGCCTTGACTACTTCCTTTACCGCTTCCTACGTCGTGGACCTGTTTCCCACCCTTCCTATAGCATTTCATTATGGCAGATACATTAATCTAACTGCCACAAAGGGTTCCCACACTCCGGAATGCTCGCCTTGACTTCTACCTTCACTGCTTCCTAAGTGTCGTGAACCTGTTTCCCTCCCTTCCCATAGCATTTTTAGAATTGCAGATACATTATTCTAATTGTCACAAAGGCTTATGACACTCCGGACTGCTCACATTGACTACTTCCTTCACCACTTCCTACGTCGTATACCTGTTTCCCTCCCTTCCTATAGCATTTTAGTATTGCAGGTATATTAATCTAACTGTCACAAAGGGTTTCTACTCTCCGGACTGCTCGCCTTGACTACTTCCATCACCGCTTCCTTCGTCGTGGACCTGTTTCCCTCCCTTCCCATAGCATTTTCGAATTGCAGTTACACTAATCTAACTGTCACAAAGGGTTTCTACACTCCAGAATGCTCACCTCGACTACTTCCATTACCACTTCCAACGTCGTGGACCTGTTTCCCTCCCTTCCTATAGCATTTTAGTATTGCAGGTATATTAATCTAACTATCACAAAGGGTTTCTACACTCCGGACTGCTCGCATTGACTACTTCCATCACCGCTTCCTACGTCATGGACCTGTTTCCCTTTCTTCCCATAGCATTTTAGAATTGCAGTTACACTAATCTTACTGCCACAAAGGGTTTCTACACTCCAGAATGCTCGCCTCGACTACTTCCATTACCACTTCCTACGTCGTGGACCTGTTTCCCTCCCTTCCTATAGCACTTTAGTATTGCAGGTATATTAATCTAACTGTCACAAAGGGTTTCTACACTCCGGACTGCTCGCCTTGACTACTTCCATCACCGCTTCCGACGTCGTGGACCTGTTTCCTTCCCTTCCTATTGGAATTTAGAATTGCAGTTATATTAATCTAACTGCCACAAAGGCTTTCTACACTCCGGACTGCTCGCCTTGACTACTTCCATCACCGCTTCCTACGTCATGGACCTGTTTCCCTCCCTTCCTATAGCATTTTATTATGGTAGATACATTAATCTAACTGCCACAAAGGGTTCCCACACTCCGGAATGCTCGCCTTGACTACTTCCTTCACTACTTCCTAAGTGTCGTGAACCTGTTTCCCTCCCTTCCCATAGCATTTTTAGAATTGCAGATACATTATTCTAATTGTCACAAAGGCTTCCCACACTCCGGACTGCTCACTTTGACTACTTCCTTCACCACTTCCTACATCGTGGACCTATTTCTCTCCCTTCCCATAGCATTTTTAGAATTGCAGATACATTATTCTAACTGTCATAAAGGCCCCCCACACTCCGCAGCGCTCGCCTTGACTACTTCCTTCACTATTTCCTTCACTACTTCCTACATCGTAGACCTGTTTCCCTATCTTTCCATAGCATTTAAGTATTACAGATACGTTAATTTAACAGTCATAAAGGGTTTCCGTACTCCTTTCTTTTCACTGCTCACCTTTCCGCTTTCTTTACTACTCTCTACGTCGGGGACCTGTCCCCCCCCCCCTTCGCATAGCATTTTAGTATAAAAATATACCAACATTTTTGAATATTTAATATTCAATGCCAACATTAAATTGAATAATGTAAAAAGCTGCTTTGTTCTAAATACATACATACCTATATACTTTTAATTAAAATGCGAAATTTTAATACTGAGCATAAACGGTATATAACTGCCGACTAATATAGTTAAGTTCAATATGGTTCAATTTATTATTATGGAAGTTGTGAGATTTAATTAGCTTAAATAACATTATTCTGAAAGCTTTGAAATTATAATGATATATATTCATAGACGCCAAACTGTTTACTCCATGAATGAAAGAGCTTAGAGTAAAAGTCGTTCTCTCTGTCTTAAGTAGACAACAAAATTGTTGGTCGCAAAACGTAAACAAATAAAAAGAAGAAGAAGGTAGCTCCTAATGTTATTCTTATGGGACAAATTTAAAAATGTTTTTTAAGTATTTTATAATTACTACTGAGCGGAATCGTCTAGAATTTTAATGGTGTCTTTACACTGGTGTCATAACTATTTGTGCAAAATTTGAACGCTATAAGTGCAACGGTTCTTGAGTTTTAGGTGCGAACACACACACACACATACTCTAGCGGACAACTTTTCTCCGACTCCGCTATACACGATACATAGATTCGTTCACTTCGTTCACTCATCTATTAGCATAAATTTTAAACACTATTGATGCTATCAATCCACTAGAATCCTATCCTCCAGGTTAGAAGTTGTATTCTCTAATTATTTTATTTATTAAATAGTTGTAAGAGAAGTGTTTGCTACATTACTCATGATGGCTAACATATCACAAGGTTAAGAGTTTCTAGATTGAATTTACTCCAAACTACCAATATGTATTATATATACAGGGCTAAAACAAATCTGTAGGACTCAATCCAGACTTTTAGATTAGTTCCACACAATAACAGCCTCATACATCAAGAGAAACACTATTGAAATTGCAATCAATTTTGTAAAGTAATTGATCAAAGTTTAAAATACGGAGATTACTTACGGTCGCTCAGTGTAGTAGAGAAACACTCCAGAATCATCAGTGCTACCATCTGTGAAAAATATATTTGTTTAGGTGCTAAATGTGATACAAATCAATTAGTACCATAACCTGTTTCTTAAGTCAACTATAAGAAGATGTAACAAACTCATAACAACGCAATTAAGTTGTGACTTCCACTGTCACTATACTGTGTTCACAAAATTGAGGCGGTTTGAGGGTAAGTGATTTCATCCCCTCCACCTCTATATTACTTTGAAACAACAGCTGAAAGCTGCAGCTGATGTATACATTGAGATAAAAAAAGCGATCGTGGATCTCAGGAAACCTTCCCCTTAAACCGCAAAAATTTTGTGAACGGAGTAAAACACTTAAGTATTCTAAGTACAGCCCAAGTTGGCCAAGTTACATATTATGTATGCAATTTTAGACAGTGTTTGTTAGTATTACGTTGTTAGTATTAGCATTGAATATTGATAGAATTATATGTCCCATTCCCATGTACCTACATGAGTTGTCGCCAGGTTTTTTTTATCAAAATGGAAACAGCTGAAGTCAGACAATGATAGATTGTGCTGATGTCAAAAACTTATTTTTAACCAAGTCAAATATGAACCACAACACATGCATGATCTTTCTAACCTCAATCTAACATTCCGTTAAGAATGAGGAATAACTGATTAGACAAAACAAAAACAATACACAGGACTTGCGTTCATCATGGATCTTGTAAAAATAACATTTAACTATACAAATTTCTAATACCCTAATCCAAACTACTTCATGCTTGTTAAAAATTAAATGGGTGTGTTTAAAAATCAATCATTGCAATACATTGTAAAAATTTGTACTAATTCTACTTTACAAATACAATATGATGTTTCGTGAGAATAATATTAATATGATTAAAAACCTTGGGAGAACGAAATAATGTTGACCTTCTCATGCAGAACTTAAAATGCTTTCCAACATGCTTTGAAAACAGGCTAGAACATGCAGATTTTGCATAATACAAGAAGTAAATACAGTACCAGGTATAGAGTTGGTTGACATTTCATTATGATGACCATGTTTTTTGTGCATTTGCATTTGCCCTCCTAGAATATGAATAAAAAGGTGTTTATTTTCAAATTACTTAAACATTGTGTTAAACAAACCAACTACAATGTGGAACCTTGATAACAATAGTGTCATTTTCAACACCCTACAATTTATATTACCTTTAATCACAAGTTATTGTAAACTTCTATAAGAAGTCAAACTTTATTGCAAGTCTTATTTAATAATTTCTCTGAGAGACCAATTGTTGAGATTCTGCTGTATGACTATCAACATTGGAATACTCCTATAGAGTATTAACACCACCATCTGCACTAAACCTGAAGACTGAGTAAATTTCCATTTACCTGGTTGGATTTTCAGTAAAATATTCCCCTAAAACTATCAGATATAATTGTTAATGAGTACAGTACTTATCTATACAGATTAAATTCTAAGATCTATACAGGTTAACTTATCTGCTACAGAGAAGGTTATCAAGTTTTTTTACTATTGAAATGTTAATAGCTTAGTATCAAATACAACTCAGCCAAATTTGATCAAAATATATCTCTAGACAAATAAACTAAATCAGTTTATATAATCCCCATTAGAAAAACATAAAGGTATTAAAATGTTACAATTTAGGTTTTTTTAAATTTTCAACATAGCCATTACGCGTACAACAATGCATCAATGTACTAAAATATTTTTTTAGAGAAATATTGCAAAACTTAATGCTTTGTAGATATTAAATGGAAAACAAAAGTTTTAACCCATAAAACCCTATTTCCCATAATCCGATCCTAGTTTCCGAACTCATGACAATAAATTAAGGTTTTAAAATCCATTGTTGTAGCCCCGAAACTGCTATTTAGACTAAAATAGGGTGAATGCTATTACCTCATTTTAGTCTAAATTTAGGTTTACTAATTGCACAAAATTTAATCAAAATCGGATGATTTTTACCCGAGTTATGGAGCTAATATACATATATTGTGTCCATAATTAAAAATTGTACATATAGGCATACAAGATATGTTTTAACAAAATACAAACAAGTTTCAATTGTTCAATCATAAATTCAATACATACCAAACCAGTATACAAGGAGTTTGAAAGCTTAATCTTAGTTTAAGATCCTTGTCAATAGAATATACGTAGACTACATCACAATAAAAACTAACAACATTTAAGTTTCAAAATCGATAATCTTGTTTAGATAGTAATTTTTTTTTATAATACATTTCAAACAAACCATTTTCTATGGTAATCTCAAGAACTTTAAGGACGGATTTACTAATCCTTAATAAGCTGAATACTACATCTTATCTAGTTTTAAAACATGATGCTGCTTTTTGTGTTTTTTTTTTTTATATCAACCTACAAACTAAATATTTGTTGTACCGTAAATTGAGTTTGGAGATGGCAAGTCGTAATGGTGATGATGACCTATGCCTTCATGTAAGCATGTAAAAACATAGAATCATGAGACAACAATACTTACTAACAGGAGCTAGTATTGGAGCTAGGCCCTAAGCTTAGGCCCAACAAAGTAGATTGAGACAGTTTTTGAAACATCAGTCAGTTGAATATGAAAAATTAAATAACTCAATTGGTGGAGCATTGTCATTTACCTTTTTAGAATTGGTGCTGTTGTGGTGCTGTAGTTAGTTGAAGAGAAAAGAAAGTGGCCACCTGCCGTTCATTGTTTATAACGTAGTAAACATTTAACCCTTTTGTGATATCACTTCAATTGAAAAGTGTTTTGTTACAAAATATCTTCTTGATCTGCATTACACAATTACAATTTGGTCTTGCTACTAAGTCATCTAACTCTACTCAGTATACAGTAAAAATATAAGGTCAAGTGGGGCAAGTGTACCCCCTGGGCAAATGGACTTCCAGCTAATAATAAATTTGTTTATTAACAAAAAAGGATGAACACTTGGCAACATATACATCAAACTGTGCTCTTTTAAATTATATTCACAAAAATATCCTCTTGTTACTTTGTCTATGAGGTCAGACAAGTTTAAAAACCTCTTACGTTTCTACTCAAAAAACAAGTGCCACTTGGAAAATTCCAAAAATTTCTAAAAATTGAAATACAAGGATAACTTTGTACAATTTGGTGATATTATGTATGACACTTTAAACGAAAAAACAAGCTCATATCCTGCTATCCCTGTTTTATTTACTTTATTGCCAGTCAGCGAATATGCATTGTTGCATAGTTATCTATCAGTTTTCAAGAGATTGGGAATTTATTGTGATTAAGACTCAGCATGGGGTTTTGCAAGCTCAAAGAGTGGTACTGAACGAAAAAAATTAAATCATTGGTTTTATGCCAAGATAGGTTTGGAATAAGCCCATGTGTGATTCCAGTAATTAAAAAATCAACTATAAATAGAACTGTAAAAACATTGAGGAAATCAGATCTGAAGACACCCAAAAAACGTAGACCGACATTACATACTCTATTTGAGCTTCCAAAAACACTCCGTTGAGCCTTATTTGCAATAAATTCCCAATAACACCAAACGTCGTAGATATGCAACAATGCATATCAGCTGATCGGCAACAAAGTAAAGAAAACAGGGATACAAACATATAAACTGATTTTGTCGTTAAAAAAAGTTTCACAGTAGTTACAATCATTCTGGTTGTGTTAAAAGAGTGCTTAGTTAGGGTAAAGGAGAAGCTACAAATAGGAAATACTCGTAAGACTGTTTAGGAAAAACGACCTGTTGCGGTCCGCAACTTAACCCAGGTCAAGGATTTTTGGTAAGACCAACCAACTATATTTATTTTTGCAGTATTTCAGTATTAGCTCAAAATAGCCAAATGCTGATAGTCTTATGAGAATGAGAAGTACCTTTGAACTTGTCCACCGTGGCGTAGTGCACTTGCAACACTAGATACTGAATGGCAGAATGACCTCCGACCTTGAAGCCTACTTCGGGGGGAAGCTCCAGTTTCGGGGCATCTTTTGCCCAAGCGTAAAGAATCTGGTGAAAAGAAATTACAATTAACTTACAGTTAAATGTTATTAGATTTCAATTTCCCCACTAAATTTGTTAAATATATATAAAGAGTTTGTAAAAGACCAATCAAACATGTTGGAGAGAAATCGGAGAACCAGCTAATAGCTAAGATACTAATTAAATGTGGTAAACAAATCAAATTTAACACTATCATCAAGCTGTTGTTTTATTTTTATTTTCAGTTTTCAAGGTCTACAGACAAATGTGTTTTTAGGCTGATAGTACAACGGCAAAACTTTGTTCAACTAAAACATTTGGCCTTGGATATGATTAATTAGACAAGATAAACAAAAAATACTGAACATTTTCTAAGGCAGATTTCCTAAAAGATTGCACAAGAATTTTTTTTTGCAACGAAGCTAAATAAGCACAACAACAATAATAGAAGTAATAAAAAATTAAAACTTTAAATTGATGGACAATTTTCTAGAGTTATTTACCATATTGTTTACAAAGGATTTAACTTTGTGTTGCTGTCACACCATTTGATAAGCCTTAGTAAAAAAACCAGTTTCTTTATGCAGAATCATTTTTTAAAAAGCTCAATAATTAAGCATAGCTTAGTCAAGTTATAAAACTAGATAGAGCACAAGGAAACATTATTGCAATTTACGATCAATTTTTGTAAGTATTCTGAAAATCATAATATGTAAATTAAAGAAATCATGGTAAAATGTTTAATTGATTTCTTTTAAAGCAGTCAATCATAATAGGCCTAGTATATTTACTAGTGATGCAAAGCAGAGTATGTCAGAGCAAGGTGGAATATAGGAGCAAGTTCCAGAATATCAATTTTGGTATAAGCTTTGAACAATACTTTACTAGGCTAATGAAATTGTTACAAAACGTTTCACAAATCCAGCATGGCTGGTGAAATAGTCAAGTTCATTGTCAAATCATAAACACTAAAGAATAAAATAAAAATTACTTTTACCTAAACTGAAATACATTTAATTATACTTTTTATCATAAATCAAAAGTGTACTGACATAGACTAAGAGATCTCAGTGAGATTAAAATAGTTATAATTCTAAATTAAAATTTTTTAAATACCTACTGTAAATATAAAAGCAAATGGGTTATAGCATAGCTTAAATCTACATAACAATGCCAAAATTAAGAGAGCAAGAGTAGAAAGAGTAAGAGAGCACAACTAGCTTATACCATAGACAAAAAGAATTAAATATAGACCGTCAGCCGTGCTGCGGTTACCATAGGTTCTGGCGCACACTGCTGGGAGTGCCATGTATTTATGGCGTTAGCGCTACAAAACTACACAGCACTCCCAGCGGTGTGCGCCAGAACCTATGGTAACCATGAACCGCGCAGCACGGCCGACAGTCTATATTTAATTCTTATTTTCTATGCTTATACCTATATCTGTTTACATTAAGATTGTTGAACAGTAAAAACAACTGTTTTAAATCAGGAAAATAAATATCGGAGCATGTAGTGGGCAAATGGAGAACTGGTTGAGAGCATGGGAAAATGATGGGAATTGGTCTCCTTTGCCCTAAGTAAGAGCTTGGGAAATAATTATTTTCTTTGATATCAGCTGTTATTGAAATTAGCTACTTTCTGTATGGAGTGATGACAAATCCTCATTTCATAAACTGTATTAATTACTGTGCCCATATTCTCAAAGCCATGTAATGTTTGACAGGTTGATAGTACGTGACTAACGGAGTGAGATAAAACTCATCTATTGCCTTGGCTCAGTTTACAAACTGACAAACAGGTTCATCTAGGCAACTAAATAGTAAATACCAAGGTTTCACAACATGCTATCCCACCGCTATGAGCTAAAGATTAAACTAAAAGCTTTATTTTAGGATAAGATTGCTTGAACTTTGAGACGAGGTAATTACCTAAATATTAGTTATATGTAAAACAGTTCAAAGGAAATAATGTACTTCAGTACTTTTACATATCCGTACTATTGTTTGACAAACTTTAAATATCACAGGTAAAAATATCATTTCACACTTTTTTGACAACCTAATTTACTTTGTGAAAAAATGTCTGGCCAAACAGATTCTTTTTTAACTTTGCGTTTACCTTTACCAAACGATATACTCAACAGAGTTTCTTAAATGGAGGAATGATTTTCCTGTACCAATGCCAACACAGCCAGTTTTCCGCGGATTCATCCGCTTGTAAGTGCTACAAACCTATGTATTTTTATAAGCCTAATATCCCACAAAATTAAATTTGCATCATTGTTCTTTAAAAATCTCAATCTCACAAATTATGTCGTTAGCAAGGTGTTTGGTGGAGATATTCAACAGTTGCCAATGCTTTCCTTATACATTCTGCATCTAATTTTCACCTACTCTTCATATTGTGACTCCCAGGACATGTAACAACTAGGTTAACAAGTTCGCTACCGCAATAGTACAAAATTTTTTATTCATATGGACAAGCGACACACAAATGTGACGGACGGTTTCTACCCATAAGACTGCCGTCGCATATATGTGATAGTTGGTCACTTTAAAATAGACTAACCTCGCATATTTGCGTCGGTGTCCCAATGTTTTTAAAAAGTTTATATCTTTGTAACGGTCTATTTGAATGCCCTGAATTCTCTGCAGTGGTCTACTGGGATGTCTGTCGCATATGTGTTTCGCTTGGTCTGCGATATGATGATTAGTGACGTCATAATAGTTGGAAAAACTGTTTTTTACTTTGCTGCATCACTGGCTCGTGGTCTGTGTTTACTTTTCATGTGACACCCGGTCTATGTGTAATATTAAAATGTATACCTCGGGCCGTGGCAATGACCTCAGCGTCGCAAATATGTGGCGATTGGTAGCGAACGTTTTAAGTCTTGAAGCATCACTGTACTGAATGTATATGTGAATAAAGATTGTTTGATTGGCTTACCGTGGACCCTGAGGCACACACCGAGGCAGTCTCCCAAGCACTGTTCTCACTACTACTAGCCATTTCTCCACAATTCCAGACCTCCTTCATACTCCCAGGCTTTGTACAGCCATAGAGCAGCATGTGATGAGCCGTCTGCATCGTGGCGTTGGGCTCAAATCCCACTGAAAGGTAAAATAATCTTACACCAATTCCTTCAATGGTTAGGATTTTATCATCAATTCAATCAATTTTTCAGTTGAGATGGGGACGTCACCAAGGTGTGTATTTTAACCCAAAATGAGTGAAGGATAAGTGAGATGTCTTGAGTAGCATTGTTACTGACTAAGTCCGACTGAGTCATAAGCTGGGACCATTAAGCCCAAGCACAATTGGGTCTAGTTTTGAACCATCAAAAAGCTACACACCTTTCTCAGGATAGAACCGACGACCTTTTGGTTACTAGGTGAGCCCTATAACCACTCAACTACCAATTAGAAGCAGTCAGTAAAATATTTGACTATGAATAGATCTAGACATGTTTAAGTTGTGGCCGTTTTGAATGGAAATGAACATAGTTACGTTGAGCCACTGACAGTGTGCTGTTATTGTGTAATTCACTGATGTCTGAACACAAGGCCAAACTGGAAGGATAACTTATTGTATTGTAAGCTGTAGCCACTGTCATAACAAATAAATAATCAAAGTAATACAAACTAAGGAAGTATTGGCATACTTTCACTCATACACTAGTTGGGTAGATATGCACATATGCACCTACAAAAGCACTTGAGTCCCCATCTCAAATGAAAATAATAATAAAACTTTGTAAACGGTCATTCAACAAAGCATGTCATTTTGTTACATCTGGGGCCCATTTCATAATAAAGTACAAACTAATATTATTAGTAAATCAGCTGATTGCCCAATGCAAATCTAATGAAAATTACAAGTTACAAGTTGTAACTTGTAACTTGTAGTTTATTATGAAATGGGCCCCTGGTCCAATTAGATGGAATGTCCTCTAAACTATACAAAATCAACAGTAGAATGTTCTTCAACTCAAGCCATATAGTTTTTACAATTAATTTGATATATTTTTCTCAGAGGTTCAAACATTCATCAACAAGAGTGTTGAATTGAAACCAATTCGCTAACAGAGGGATCTCAATGAAAATAAAGAAAAAGTCAATTGATTGTCAATTTCGTACAATAAATTGTGAAAAACATAAAAAAACAATTAAAAATATTTTACTAATAATATATTAGGCAATATACTATCAAGATAGTCTATGCATCTTGCACTGCGACACGACAAAGAGAGTTTGCATAGTTACAAACAGATGTGACTAGAAGAAGACAATTTGTATCTCGAATGAATGTTCTTTTGTTAATTAAATGAAATTTCAATGACATTTCACTTATTTGTACAGCTTAAATGACATTGGTGTTGTATGTTTGACATTAATTCAATTCTAAATGTAGTTTTAGTACTTAGTGAATATTTTCTTACCAGGGAAATGTTTTTTTTTTTGTTTTTTATGTTTTCAAGAAATCCAATGTGTATCTTCAACCCAAGAGAGTTTGAAGGAAAAGCTTTTTGTTTGTTGAAACCATTAATTTTATCAGATGGTAACAAAGGGAAAATATTTTTTCTGGTTACATGTATAGTTAATTTATACAAGAGTAGAGAATAGTATATTTCATAAAGAGTAGAAAGTGAGTCATTACATATTTGAAACCAATCTCGCACTTTAAATGATTGAGAATTTGTATAGACCCACTTTCACTCGTGTTTAGAATGTTACTTTTCGCTACACTACAAAATTATTTTCTTAATTAAAACAGACATTGGATATTTCATTGTTTAAGTTAGGAGCATTACAAAACTCATAGCATTTTTTAGGTTATGCCTTCAATTTAAAGTTAATATTAACTTAAGTTGTACAGTTTTGGTTATTGAAAATTGAAACAGTTGTAATGATGAATTGTTGCAGGTCATGTAACGAAAGCAGGTAATTTCACAGTAGTGTAGCGAAAATTTCCATTACAGATGATTTCTTTAAAAGAATTGTAAGTAGACGAGTCGATTTAGACCAAAAAAGCCTCTAAGACAAATTCCAACAAATGGTTTTTCAACGGTTTTTGGTAGTAATAGGTGTAGAAAGTACCAGGAAAAACGTCTACCAAAATCGGACAACCGGAAGTCGGATTTTTCCAGGATGGCCGCCGTGAGGCCCTCAAATTGACAAGATGACTACAAATTCGTCGATTCATAGTTCAGGATTGGCCAATTTCCACGAAAATTGGCAAACACATGTAGAACTATATTTCCAACCTTAAATATGAAAACTAGGCAGACAAAGTAACCCAAAGATGAATTTTCAGGGTATTATGTGCTAAAAAATAAGATTTTTTACCTCAAATATATGTTTTTCTAATATTTTGTACAAAGTTTGTTATAATTTCAAATTTATTTTTTCACCATTAGATTTAACACAAAAAACCTAACAATTTAGTATATTGAATCTTTGTTCTGCTTCAATTTGTTACAGAGATATTGAAAGTAATAACTTTAGTATGTTTTCTTGCCGAGATAGCTCAATGTTAATCTTATGGAGAATAAGCATAAATATTAATATTATTTTTCATTAAACCTATATAGATAAGACTTTTTGTTCTGCTTCATATTATCTGTTTTAATATTTTTTTTTTACTAAAAATTCCTTTTTTGGCAGTTACCATTGCAGCAAACCTACGTATTCGGTTCCTCAGTTTTAATCATAAAGAAAATAAGCAAAAATCCATTTTTTTATTAGTCCGAGAAGTATAGAATATTACCTTAAAAAATTGCAAGAAAACGTTTTATGGTTATATGTTGTAGTTTTGGGTGTGCAGAGTCGGACTTTCCCAACATTGGACAAATTTTGAAAAAAAAGATACCATAAGCATTTTCTACGCACAATTTTCTAAATATTACTTGGGACCAACATCGATATTTATTGGGTGGTCATTTCTACATTTCGATGGGAAACGTATTTTGGCCGCCATTTTGGATCCACCCTATTGGATATAATTTTTTGTTGTTGTAACGACATTGTTGTGACACATTATTACTATATATACTAGATTTTCACGCATATTCCATTGCCGAAATCCGTTTTTAAATACATTTTTTTTGTTTTTAACGTTTGTACTTTGAAATTTTCTTACGATTATTTTCCTTATATCTTCAGTTAGTAGTTCATTCTTAAATAATTAATGATGTAAGGGCTTTCATTTGAGCTTTTGATCATTAAAATTGGACGAGTTAGAGACGAGATACCAATCCCAACAAAATATTAAATTTAACTTTTTATAAATCAGTTTTTATTAAATGTTTTATATCTCGGGTTCTTAATACGTCACCAAGTTCTTTCTGGTCTCAAATTATTCAGTAGAGAATTAGGTTTTTTATTTTATTAGTCACTAAATAATATCTGACTAATTAATAAAAAATGAGTCATGCACCTTAATTTAATATTAAATTATTTGCATTTGAAATTTGTCTTTAGTTAAGTACATATATCTCCAATTCTAATAACTCCCAATAAATAATCCATAACTACAGTAAAAGTCAATACTTTGATGAATATTTTAAGATTATAAAACTAAAGACTAAAGACAAATCTCGAAAAAAAAAATTATTGTTAAATAAGACAGACCCATATTAAATTTGTCACATTTTATTTAGTGATTAAAAAAATTAACCCAAACATTTACTGAGTAATATGAAACTAGAAAGAACTTGGTGGCGTATTAAGAACCCGAGATATAAATATTTTAATAAAAATGTATTTCTAAAAAGTGAAATTTAATATTTTGCTGGGGTTAGTAACTAGTCTCTGACACGTCAGATTTTAATGATCAATAGCTCGAATGAAAGCCCTTACATTACTAAATGTTTAAGGCTAGAACGAACTGCAAGCGTTAATATGTACTGGAGATATAAAAAAAATAATCTTAAAAAATGTTCAAAATACGAAACGTCCTTAAGAAATACGGAAAGTAAATAAAAGAAACGTCTTATAACACTTAAAACATATATTTACGCTTATACTGTTACTCACAAGACGGTAAATATACGAAAAAGATGGTAAGTGGTCTTACCCTAAGAAATGTATGCAGGAGAATTTTTGTTTGAATATATCTTTATAACAAAAAAAGATATTTAAAAACTTATTTTGGCAATGGAATTGGCGTGAAAATCTAGTTTAAAATAATGGGTCACAACATTGCCATTACATAAAAAAAATATTTATATCCAATATGGCCGATCCAAGATGACGGCCAAAAACACGTTCCCTATTGAAATGACACTGTCATTACATTTTAAAAAATATTTATATCCGTTAGGGGATCCAAAATGACGGCCGAAAACACGTTCCCTATTGAAATGAAGAAATTACCACCCAATAAATATCGGTGGTGGTTTGAAGTCAATATCAATGAAAACCCATGTGGATTTTTTTTTTATTTTTCCAATGTTGAGAAAATCCGTCATATTAAATCTTGATTCTAGGGGTTTTCCAGTAGACCGATTTTTGGCAATTTTTACTATGTTACTCTGCATACCCAACACCACAACATAAAACCATAAAACGTTTTCTTGCAATTTTTTAAGGTAATATTCTATACTTCTCGGACTAATAAAAAAATTGATTTTTGCTTATTCTCTTTATGATTAAAACTAAGGAACCGAATACGTAGGTTTGCTGCAATGGTAACTGCCAAAAAAGGAATTTTTAGTAAAAAAAATATTAAAACAGATAGTATGTAGCAGAAAAAATGTCTTATCTATATAGGTTTAATGAAAAATAATATTAATATTTATGCTTATTCTCCATAAGATTAACATTGAGTTATGTCGGCAAGAAAACATACTAAAGTTATTACTTTCAATATCTCTGTAACAAAATGAAGCAGAACAAAGATTCAATATACTAAATTGTTAAGTTTTTTGTGTTGAATCTAATGGTGAAAAAATAAATTTGAAATTATAACAAACTTTGTACAAAATATTAGAAAAACATATATTTGAGGTAAAAAATCTTATTTTTTAGCACATAATACCCTGAAAATTCATCTTTGGGTTACTTTGTCTGCCTAGTTTTCATATTTAAGGTTGGAAATATAGTTCTACATGTGTTTGCCAATTTTCGTGGAAATCGGCCAATCCTGGAACTATGAATCGACGAATTTGCAGTCATCTTGTCGATTTGAGGGCCTCGCGGCGGCCATCTTGGAAAAACCCGACTTCCGGTTGTCCGATTTTGGTAGACTTTTTTCCTGGTACTTTCTACACCTCTTACTACCAAAAACCGTCGAAAACCCATTTGTTGGAATTTGTTCTATCTCAAGTGCCTATATTTACTCGACTAAAGTGTAAACAAGATGAACTCATAATTGAGTATTGACTATCACTAACACCTTCAAAGGGGGAGCGAGCTAGTCTAATGGTAAAGCGTGTGACTTCGGTTAACAAGGTCCAGGGTTCGAATCCCACCATTCGCAAAGGATTTCATCTAAATAATAATTCCACAACCTCTAGGCCTAGCCTGAGTATGAAAAAATCTTGAAAAGACTTACCAATGTAGTAGTTTGTGGTGAAGTTTATCCTGATAGGAGTACACAGGTAAAGCTCCGGCTGAAACAAAAAATAACACATCAAAGTCTAGAAACCATAACTTTTAACCTCTGTCGATGTTGTATTCAGTGAGGTTGACCTTTATAAAGTATTTCCCTCATCTTTGAACCCAAAAATAAAAATAATTTTACAAGTTTTGGGTAAACACACTTGGACAGTGAGAAAAGTAGGAAAATACCGTACCCATCCTATCAACTTCAACTTGAGCCGTCCAACGTTTGTTTTAAGTAAGGAGACCTTTACCACCAAGCACTGTGGAAGACAGCTGACTCATGAGTTGTAACGCAACCAACCTGACGAAGACTGCAATCGAACACTAAACCTACAGCGCTGGACTTACACGTTCACATAAGCATCAGGTCCTTGTGTAGAACGTGACCAGTAAAGCAAAGGTTGAGCTGGTAGTTATTATCAGTATCATTATGAAATGGGGACGCCACCTAGGTGCGTATTTTAACTCAAATATGAGTGAAGGATGAATGTAAAATGTTGTGAGATGATCTGTATGTAGCTTTATTACTGACTAGATCAGCTGTTAAGTCAGGATCATTTATTTTATGCCCAATGGTCAGGGACAGCTGGGTCCAGTTTCAAACTATCAAAAACCAACTGACTTTTCTCAGGATTGACCATTGCTGATACCGTTTATTTATGCTTGTTTAAATTCTGCTTTAAGGAAAACATTTAACTTTTTCCCACGGGGCAGAGCCCTAAGGATATGAAGATAGGGATAGTGCATTGTACTGCATGTTTGACCAAGCAGTCAAGTTCAGATTTAAGTGTGAAGGTAAACACAAACCTTCCTAGGCAAACACAGAGTAATTTCCCAAATATCCCAATACCTACAGGACATAAATTACACTATCCTTTCACAGCTTAATTTTAAAATAATAAAATAAACATGTTATTAGGGTCTTCAAGGTAATTCTTCCAAGTATGAAACATATGTTGAAGCACCACTAACAGAATTAAGATCAATCAAACTTGAAAAAGGCCTTATTGTCTCTTGTATCTCTGAGAAACCTCCCACGTATTCCTAATACTGAACAAGTTATTTTTGAAACATCCCCAGAGTTATTAATTAGTAACCATAATAGCTAGCAGATGCAGTTACTCTACAAGAGGGGAGGGGTGGAGGATGAAGTGGCAGTGTGACAACGTCAGTGTAACCATGGATACAAGCAGATAACCAGGACTGCATCAGCTGTATGAACACTCTTCAATTAGTGTGTACTCCTCCTCAAAGATAAGACACTTCCTCTTTGACAGTTCGGCATAAACATTACTATTTTTGAAAATATAGTATTCTTGCTCTGTAGATAAAAAATTATATTTTAATATTTAATTTTGAATACGTATAGCTTTTTACTTTCATCCCCAATACCAAAAAGTATTGTTTTTGTCAAAATTTTCAAGTTTGAGTTTTGAGTGGATGTATTTGTTTTTGGTTCCCCCGAAACCCAAAAAGGTTTTTTTTCAAAGTGATGTCTTGTCTGTGTGAATGTGTACAGAGCTACGGGTGTAGGCTTTCTGCCCATACGATAATCCTATTTGTGACGCTCGGCTGATCTGTCAGCGCTACCCGTCCCTGCGTTGGGGTTGAAGATGAATAAGCGTAGGACAGTGGAGGGGGTGAGACGCCAATGTAGGGGAAGTTAGTGCGAGGTGGAGAGAGTGAAAGTGATGTAGGTTGAAGAGAAGGAAAGAGGTAAAAATTCAGCAATAAGGATCGAACTGATCAAAAAACCCAACCCTATTACATTGTGATCCAATGGTGTTTATAATTTTTTATGTGTTCAGTGGCGTCATTCGCCTATTAGGCGGCCTGATGATTGTAGTGTTCAATCTAAATCAATAACCACTTGCCTCCATTTATGTAGGTAAATAGTACCTAATATCCTTTGTAAAAGGAAAAAAAGAACTGTCGTGGAGGACCTTTGCGGTGATATTTATTAACCGTATTGTGAGTTAACAGTATATTGTGTAAATAGCCTAAATGTATCAATAGTGTTTTTAGACCTCTCAGTACTTACATTCTGTGCTTTAAGTAAACTGTAGATTGTTTATGAACAAATTATGGTCAAATTTGAAAAATAAGTATTTTATTCATACTAAACTATTAGTATTTCACCTAAATAAAACACTTTATTACCTTCCCTGTAGCAGCAAACCTAAGTACTTGTAAACTAATGTTATTTAAATAGGGAATAAATATGACACATTCTTAAGAGGGTTCCCTACCCCCGCCGAAAAACGTCAGAAAACCGCTTCGCGCGGTATCATATAGCGATTCTAGTTTTAACATTTAAATTGTGAACCAAACACCATTTTGTACATAAAGAGTGGTTCTACTAAGTTTGCTTTTTAAAAAATGTCTATGCTTACGCAATCAAGGGCAACGACTTGTCAAAGTTAGTGAACTTTACAGTTAAATAATAATATCTTTTTATGAAATTATCGATTTTTAATAAAGCAATATTAGTGCGAAATTTAACTAAAAATATCAAGTCACTTTTAGTTTCAAGAAAAGATTATTTTTTGTATGTGCAAAATGAAACCGCATAAAACCTTGCACGGCGATAAGTGCTATGATTCTGACGGACTCTAGCGGCCTTTATCGAAACTACTGTCTCGCGGAGGGACCACAATAATGTTAAATGGACCGGCAGACAGCAATCCTAGGGAATATTTTGTCGTCTTGTAGTTCCAAATAAACTCACCAGGGTTGCAGAAAATTGAAAACAGTTCGAGGTAGGGAACCCCCTTAAGTAGATATTGTAGTGAAAATTCAATCTTGCAAATCTAAATTCGCTTAGTTCGGTTTGCTGCGGCGGGGCTATGTGTCTGAGTTTACCACTGCCAAATATATATATTATGTAAACACACATACAAACCAACACCCTCTTTTATACTTATATATTATATGTCCGTCAATGTGATAACTTTAACAATATTTGTCAGATTATGATGAAATTTGTCTAAAAATTTTTAGGACGGGATAAACTATAAACTTGAATGTGTTCACGAACCAACATGATCAAACAGTGGAAACAGGGTTTACATCATTAAGTATATTCAAGTGTTTTTTTTTTTTACTATTATTGGTTAAGGAGAAAATTCAAAACGTATAGAATGTAAAATGTTAACGTTATTCTTATGGAGTAAGCTGTTGTAGCTTACTTGTTTAAGTATATTGGTCAAGTTTTGATCAAACTTGCCAGATTATTTTATTTTATACTAACCTATTGATATAAGCTGTTAAGCAGACAAAAATAATGTTTTGATTATTTACATATTTTCTAAATTATTTATTTAAATTTAAAAAGTTGACTGAAATTTTCAAACGAAAATCCATGATTTCAGTTATAGTTTTGTGCTTGTCCATATAAAGGTTCCCTGTAAGATGTTATAATATAACGTACTAATGAACGTATTTTAATTGTATATGTATATATATATATCTGAAAAGGTCATAAATTGAACGGGAGGTACAACTAGATGCAGATACAACTAGTCGTAGGTATGAATTCTTTTGCTAAATAAATCATAACTTGGATGATACAAATTTAAAATATGCACTTGAAACAAAGTTTGAGATATTAGGTATTCTTCAAATCAAATCATTCTCCTACTACTGGATATTGAAGATTCAAATAATATAGCCTAATAAACTGTTTCCTTGTTCAATATCCTTTGGTATTGTTGGATGACGACCGGTTTCGTGATGACAGTCTCATCATCTAGTATTGTACAAAGCATTTACAGACAGAAACCATCGCGATGCACGCGTGCATCACATTCGAGCCGGCTTGACTGTGACGTAAGCGTGCTGCACACATCGCGATGGTTTCTGTCTGTTAATGCTTTGTTTTGTAAATATATTATGTGTTTTTGTTTTGTGTTCGGTAAAACTTTATGTCTACATAACGAATAGTTCTACGAGGATTGACCTGATGATGTTACTGTCATCACGAAACCGGTCGTCATCCAACAATACCAAAGGATATTGAATAAGGTAACAGATCATTTTATTATTTAATACAAACTTTTGTTTAAATGGTTACGTTTGTAAATCTTATAAAACAACTAATATAATATATATATTGAAGTGTTTTTGTAGGGTTATTAGTGACGATTTTTAAAATTTAAAATTGCTATTTTATTTGTATGGAGAATAATACAGTAGACTTATAGTTGGCTTGTTGCTTGATGATGGTTGTTAATTGATATTTCAATTAATATTGGCAAATTTGTTATATTCATACTAAACAATTAATATTTCACAAAAAATACCTTATTACCTTCAAGGCAAACGCAATAACATATAAAGATAGTAAACCTGATAAAAAATAACACTGGTATGACTGTTTTTGTGTCGCGTATATATTTAGTTCTTATGAATCTATCATATTGGTTTGTTGGTCACATAGTTTCAGACAAGTACTTATACCACACGCACTATTACAGCTTTTTAGACACAGACCACAAAAATGCCATATCTCGGTCATTTTTAATTGGATTTTCTATGTCGATGTGTCATTACGTTTGTGTCAGAATTTACAAAGATTTACTGGTTTAACGTTACTACTGTTAAAAATGTTTAAATGGCTGCCATATTAAATTTTACATTTATAAATTGTAATATATTCTTGCAATATATTACAATTGTAATATATTGTAATATATTGTAATTATACTAGCATTAACATTTATTTACAATTTAAAATTTTAAGTAACATGGATATAAAAAAACAAAATGGTGGCTCTGTGTGTAACCATTGATTTACAGGTGCTTTAAATGTGATACTGATAACCCAGAAATTATATTCTAAAAGGTTGGTAGAGAGTTACTTAACACCCTATAGTTCGACAGAATTGTTATAACAAAGTCACTACTGGATCATAAATGACCAGAAATAGATTTTCATCAACATCATTAGGAGTACTGGTTAGGTGACGTATTTTCTCGTCACACAATTGGTATTTGGAATGTGACGTTT